AGGTAAACCCCAAAACCCCAAAACCCCAAAACCCCTTCAAATGATATTTTGGATATTATAAGATGATGAAATTAATAAAATCATTAGAATTCTTATGAGTATTCCTGTTCTTCATTCGTTTCTTTATGGTTATCGAGTGTATCAGTAAGAGGTCTTTGTGGGAGTACCATTGTTTTAAGTAATTTGACTCTTGAAATATTTCTGCTAGATTTAGGTTTTTTCATATGATCCCTAAAATTTTCATACATTGTTAATCTTTGATGCTTCATTAACTTCATTTCTTGGTTGAATTTATAAAGTTTGTTAACAGTCTTAATCTCCTTATCATCAGGATATGGATTACTGAATTCAGTGAAGTAATCCATGTTGTGCTGAGAGAACTATAATCTTGGGGTGTATTAAGGAAGTTTAACCACAGAATTTCCAATAGCTAGTGTTGTTGACTCCATATTGTCTTGCTTCATTTTAAGGTAATCTAGAATCACTTATGGGTCTTGCCTGAATGTTTCACGAGGCTCAATAATTCTTTATACGGTCAAAATCTTTGTTGATTATTATTACAAGTCTGGTAACTTAGAACTTTCCTTGAACAACTAAAAATTCGATTTATTTGTGTGAGTTCGATGCGAGCTAAGTTAAGACTTAGGTCTTTGTGATTGGGAAGTAAGCAATAATCTTTTAGACTAGGCACTTATATTCTATCGAACGATATCTGCTCTAGGAGTGGGGACCATTTTACGATCAATGAATTTGCAAATTTCTGCAGGATCTATTGATACGAATTAATGCTATTACGATTGAAGTTTTTACTCTTCATTTGCTTGAATCTAAAGGTTCTATAATTATGCTGAGACAGGAGTAGAGTATACAAAATTATCAATCTAAGTTTTATAGTTCTACTGGTAACTCCTCTAAGATCTAGTTGTAAGTAGTAAATCAATTGCTTTTTATGATAGTTTCTAATCAAATTCATTTGTCTTTATTTCATTCGTATTATAAGTTGTCACATTATTTTGAATATGTATCAGATGAGTTTTACTAGTATCAATTAGCCAAATATTACTAAGAGCCAATATAATTTTCTTAATTTCTAGAAACTTTGGATTTTCATCTTTGTTAGAAATATTAGCTTTTATAAGATTGTTGTTTTAGATTTCTTCCTATATTCCAATAATCTTCTTGTAACACCCTTAACAAGTTTAAACACTATCATAAATCCAGTATTATGTCTCGCTCATTTTCTTTTGATATTGTTGTAGATTAATTACTGGATATATTTGCCTTATTGGATAAGGAATGTCTGATTTTTCAATTTTTTCCTTTAACGAGTAATAGTAGGTTCTTTCAGACTCCTCTTGCTCATTAAACAAGTCTGTATAGACACTGATGATTTTATTTATAAGTTTGAGGTACTATTCATATAAAGTCATAATTTGCTTGATAATGAATTCAAAGTTTTCATTTACTTAATTTTTAAGCTTTTTATCACAAAATACGCATTAAATCTGGTTTATCTGTTCAATCTCATCTACAAAGCTGGGTTCCTTTTAAACAATTTATTAATTTGTGACTATTTCGAGATTAGTTGTCTTTATATCCTTGAACAGTTCTAATCTTTACTCTTCAGGCACTGATTAATAGACAAATTTATCGAAAGAAACTTTATTTTTATGCTAGTCTCCCTCAATATGAATATTCTGGCATCCAATAAGGTAAAGTATACTTTTCTTTATTTTAAAGAAGTAGATTGCTTACTGTACTATAATATCAGATTGAGCTAGCTTTTCTTAAATCATTAAGCACGCTTTTTCAATTTCTTTAATAGTATAATTCGAAATGACTTTTTGCTAATTAGAAAGACCAAGTGGTCCTTCATAAGTAACTACCCTCTGGATCATTTAAAAATTATCGTCGTTTTAATTGCAATTATTTTCTCTTGATTCTATCATGCACATTGATGGAGTCCATGAACATTTAATGACAGTATTTTTAGGTTTGCTTGAAGGTATATACTCCACTAAGAGATCTAAATGCAACTTGTCTTCTTCAAAGATGAATTTTTCTAAGAGGTCAATATAAATTTAAGAGTATTACTTATTTAATTTATCGAGAGATGCTTCATTACTACATCAACTCTCTCCTTATTTTCCGAGTAATAAAAAGCAGTTGCAACAGGTACATGCTGAGAGGCTTTTTTGAATTTAGTCAGCAGACATTCATAGACAAACTTTTTCGTTAACTTTCTTTCATATTTTCTTAGGATGCAATTATCTTTTGATGAGAAGAAGTATGAATAGGGCTTATTGACTCTATATTTTGCTCATCTAAGTATTCAATTCTTACTTGTATATAATGGTCTCTGGGATACGAAAGTTAAATCTAAGTGGTTCTGGCTTCTCTTTAATCCACAATCTGAAAATCATCCATTCATATTCATTTGTAATGACTTATTCAATTTGCATTTTATATTCTAATATTTTCAATCATGCAATTATCTTAAAACCATGGGGTTTTGGGGTTTTGGGGTTTTGGGGTTTTGGGG